GGCTGGGACTCGAGCCAGGCTTCAGTATGAGATGCAGGTGTCCCACCCAACGCTTAGCCTGCTACGCCACAATGCCTGCCCCAGGCTTAATTCTCAGAGGAACTGCCATACTGCTCTCCATGGTGGCTTGCACCATTTCGCACTCCGCCTAGCAATGCACGCGGCTTCCAGCGTCTGCACATCCTTACTAACACCTGCTTCTGGTGTCTGTTTTAATAATCGCCATTGTAATGAGCGTGACGTTGTACCCCTCTTGAGATTTATGTGCTTTTCTCTGCTGGTTAGTGATACTGAGCATCTTTTCATGTGCTTACTGGCCATCTATAAATCTTCTCTGGAGAGATGTCTATTCAAATTCTTTGGCCCATTAAAATGATTTTATTTATTTGAGAAGGGGGAGAAGAGTGAGAGAGCACACTCCCATCCACTGATTTCACTCCCAAATGTCTGCAGTGACTGGGGTTGGGCTAGAGCCAAAGCTGGGAGCTGACAGATGCGGTCCGGGTCTTCTACGTTCTCCCACCAGAGCTGGGGAACTGAACCAGCGGCTCTAATGTGGGACAGGGCATCCTAACTGCTAGAGTAAGTGTCTACATCTGCTCATTTTTAAAAAAGATGTATTTGAAAGAGAGTGAGACAGGGACACACACACACACCTTTCATCCACTGGTTCACTCTCCAAATGGTTGCAACAGCCAGGAAAGCCAGAAGCCAGGATCTCCATCCTGGACTCCCACGTGGGTGGCAAGGGTCCAAGTACTTGGGCCATTTTCCACTGTTTCCCAGGTGCATTAGCAGGAAGCTGTATCCAAAGTAGAGCAGCTGTGACTTGAACTGACAGTGTTTAACCCACTGCACTACAGCACTGGCTCCTGCCTGCCCATTTTGGATTGCATTTTTGTTGTTGAATTTTAGGAATATTAAAGATATTCTGTATATTTGCATACAGAGTGTATATATATATATGTATGTGTGTGTGTGTGTGCGCGTGTGTGTGTGTGTGTATATATGATTTTATAAGCTGCAAAAAATGCCATTCCTGAGCCAGCTGAAGGTTGTGATTCACCAGTTTGGATGGCGAGGGGAGGAGCTGCTGCTTTGCAAGCCCACATGGGTGATTCCGATGCTGGTGGTCCTAGAACCACTATTTGAAAATTCCAACCCATAGAACTTCTCCCATAGTAACGACAGGTGCACAATGGAGACAAAGCGGTTGAACTAATGGCTAACTTTTGAAAATACAGTGATACCCTTTGGTACTTTTTGATGGAAAACTCACGGGGGTGCATGGCACTCACAACTTTCATCTGACCAGCAAAAGGGTACGTGCCAAAGTGCTCAGGCCTCTCCAAACACCACCTGTGCTACAGGAGGCCTAAACCAATTCCCTGACAGCACACATACTCCAGAGAGACAGGGAAGGCATCAAACCCCCTGCGTGGCTCCTAATGCCAGTCTCAGCAGACAGGCAGGGGAGCCCCGAGAAGGACCAGCCCCGAATGGAGGAAGAGCTGTGGTGGACTCGCACTCAGAGGAAGGTCCCAGTGTGAACATGGCCAAGGGGAAAATCCATCGTCGGCACAGGGCTCCCCAGCGGAGCACATTGTAGCTCCTGCCTTCAGCAATCTCCCGGGTCTGCACCATTGTACTTCCGGCTGGTGCAACACCTGACACTCCATTCTCCCACTGCTGGCTCCTTGTAATGAAACAAACATCTTTCACGCCTACTGCGTGCCCAACAGCATTCTAGACATTGGAGCCAAAGCGTAAGACACATCCTTTGACCCAGGGTGAACAAGTACAGAAGCAAATAATTGTAATAGAAACAGCCAGCGTGTTGACAGCGACACACACAGGAGACACACCTGACCCGCCTGCGAGCGAAGTGGCTGGAGACCAAGACTCAGTCTCAGAACTGACGGACTCCTCCAGGCTGACCACACATGGACCAGTGTGCTCTCCCCCCACCTGCTGCATGGTCCAGAAGACTTCCCAGCCGAGGGAGCTGCCATCGCCCACCCCCCTGTACTCAGATGGTCTCCTCCACTCCCCCTACCCCGGGCCATGACCGGGTCTCAGTTACCAGCCTCCTGCCCCGTGGGTTTGAGGCCTGACTGGTAGATGCCCCAGGGCCTCGCAGCGGGGGCTCTGGGCTCTGACGCTCTTACAGGCAGGAGAGCCCGAGATCCAGGCGCTCCAGAGAGCCAGGAAAGCCTTCCAGCCGGGGAAGGCGGAACTGAGCTACAGGAGGAGAAGACGGGGAGGACGGGGCCCGGAGCTCACGCGAGGGAATTGCTCAGTGCCCATCTTCACTGAGAGTTAAGTGGTAAGGGAAAACGACGTAGTCTAGGTCGTGCGGTCAGCTACGTGGAGAACCGCTGGCCAGCCACGGGACGGCTGCCTGGCGGCGAGAGCCTCGCCACTCTGCGGCTGCCCTCGTGCGCCAGCAGGTATCTGAGAGGCCCTTCCAACCCTCGGCGAGTAGGCCTACATTCTGTGCCTCAAATAGGAGAGCAGCAGGGCCCAGCGCCGTGGCTCACTTGGTTAATCCTCCGCCTGCGGCACTGGCATCCCATATGGGTGCCGGGTTCTGGTCCCGGTTGCTCCTCTTCCAGGCCAGCTCTCTGCTGTGGCCCAGGAAGGCAGTGGAGGATGGCCCAGGTGCTTGGGCCCTGCACCCGCATGGGAGACCAGGAGGAAGCACCTGGCTCCTGGCTTTGGACTGGCGCAGCACCGGCCACGGTGGCCATTTGGGGGTTGAACCAATGGAAGGAAGACCTTCCTGTCTCTCTATCTGTAACTCTACCTGTCAAATAAATAAATAAATAAAATTTAAAAAAAAATAGGAGAGCAGCAGAGGAAATACCTAGTCCTACATAGACAGCAAACAGAGAAATGGTGGGTACTCGGTACAGAATTATTTCACTAAATGAGTGTTTACTTTTATGAGGCATCAGCAATTTTTCTTAAGGTTACACACTGAGTAACTGCAATCATTGATTACATTAATGGATTACCTCTGGAGAAGGAATCTAATTACATCTTGGTACAAACTGCAAAGTGCAGATAAATTCCAAGCTTCCTTGTAGCCCTGGCGTTCTTTGCTTGAGCGTGGTGATGAAACTTGGACAAGAGATGCACACCACGGCAAAGAAGCTGGCACCCTTGGGGGGCTTTGTTGGTTCCCGGGACAAACACATGCAGATCCCTGCCTTCTGCACCCTCCAGCTCCCTGTCTGCACTGGAGGGGGTGGTACAAACGTGACCGTGTCTCACTCATCGTGGAGCTCCCCAAGGGCTATCCAAGAGTAATAAAGCCCAAATGTTCCTGAACCTGCAGGAGTAACCACTGGGCTTCGCTCTCTGAACACCAGTGGGACTCCACTCCACGCCTCTAACCTTGGGGTCATCAAGCCCATTAGCCCTGAGAGGCTGGGTAGGGATCACACTGGGAGAAGGGAGAAGAAAGCATGACAAGGAGTTTCTGACCAAGCGGCGCTTCTATGAAGACTGACCGACCAAAGTCACAGGAAGTAAAGGCAAAACAACGGAAGTCAGGGTGGTAAAAGAGGAGGCGCCCCACGGCCAATAACCGCTCAAACCTGACCCGTCTCAGTGACAGAAATGAACTATTCTGCAATCACATCAGTCAAATTAGCATATTTCATCTGAATAAATCTTGATCAAATATGCTACTTTGGGGGGAGGGGTTTCAGTGTGGGTAATATGGGTAGGACTGTAAACTGGCTTAAATTTTCTAGATTTGGCATTATCTATCAAGAACCTAAAACATTTGTATCTTTTGAGCCAGTAGTTCTTATTCTGGGCATTTATCCCAAAGAAATGATCAGAAATATGATTAAAGATGTATGTACAAGGACTATCATTACATCACTATTATTATGATTATTATTATGGCTCAAAACTAGCTCAACATCAACATGTAGCTTTAGAGGAAGGATTAAGTAAATGCTGTATATCCATATGGTAGAATATTATAAGCCATTAAAATCATGTTTATGAAGAGTGTTGATGACCGGGGAAAATACTTATCACAGAACTATAAATATAACTGGCACATAAAACTCTACATGAAGTATGATCGACATGATGGAAAGAATTGCAAAGGAAAATGTAAGGACAGTCTCTACAACGGAAGTCTATTGATGGTGGTGTGCTGGGTGACTTCTCCTGTCCTTTTAAACGTTTCTGCTGGATAATTTACAATAATCAGGTTATATCTGGAAAATCAGGAGACATGAAACCAGCTGATAAGGAAGAAGAGACGAAGGGCGGGCGTTTGACACAGCAGTTAAAGCGCTCCGTGGGATGCCTGCATCCCCGCACGAGCACCTGGTTTAAGTCCTGCTCCAGCTCTGACCCGGCTTTCTGCTAATGCACCCCTGGGCAAGGCAGCAGACGGCTGCTGCAGGACTTAGATTCCCGCCACCCACACAGGGGATGAAGACTGAGCTCTGGGCTCCCGCGTGCAGCCTGGCCCAGCCCTGGCAATTGCAGGCATTTGGCAAATGAGCCAGCAGATGGAAAATATCTCTCTCTCTCTCTCAAATAAAGGTGAGGAGACAATGCTAGCCTAGTGAAGAGGCCATCTCCCCTACCCCATGGAACTGGGCTCGGGGCGCGTGGTTATGGCCAAAGACTGCACCCAGGGACGGAAATCAGGTGACAGGCGAGTGCTTACTGTCCAGAGCTGTGCTTGGTGACATCTGTCTCAAATTTCCTCCCTCCTTCCAGGATTAACCAGATTCACTGTTAGGTTTCAATCTCTCTGGTAACTCTTAAATAAATAAGTCTATAGGATTTTAAGTCTCATTAATTCTACCGCTTTCAACTGCCAAGACACATCCCGGCTGGTCCTTGAAACGTTACATGTTGACCCAGAGAAAAAAATGTATCCAAAAAAAAACTGTAGCATTTTTCAAGAATCCCTAAAGGAGTAATCAGAAGACCCTCCTGTCCCCCCCCCCCCCCCCCCCCAGCACTGACTGTAATCAATTGACTCTTCAGACGCTTTCTCTGGAGACGCTGTTGCACTGAGGGAGATGAGTTGCGTAGCCTTGGAGAGCGCCCACAAAGGGCGCCCCACTGTTCAGCACTCACCTTTCACTCAGTAAACCATAAGTACTTAATGATGAGGCCACAGTGATGACTCGGTTGATCAATAGTGAGCACGGAGACCCCATTCTGCTTCCAGCACTGCTGGGACGGAAGCTACGGGGATGGAGGAAAAGGCACACAGCAGAGGTGACAGCTGGCTGCTTCGGCGATGGCAGCTCAGGGCTCCGAGAGCAGGGGCTGGGTGGTCAGGAGGCCATGCTGGAGGGGCCGACAGCCGGGATGAGGGGCCAGCCATTCCCGCACCAGTGTCCTGTGGCCATGCAACTTTAATAAGCTCAACCTCAAGAAGGAAAATGGAGCCTGGGACCATGCTGAATTATTCACAGCTCCAACCCAGTAAGGCACAGGAACTCCTCTTAGGAGGGGAAGTGATAGCTACTCATTGATTTTCCCCTTCATGACCCCGGGTGAGAATCCAGTTTAAAAAAAAGATAGAAGAAAATCTAACTGTCTTCTTAAAAACAAGCTTGTGAATACTTAGCGAATTCCTCAGTGGTATTTAAGTCGGTATTTCTTTTCTCAAGAGTAATTTCTATGCCTCGGACTTGACAATAGAATAAAAGAAAGCAAGGGTTTTAAGATATCTAAATTTATTTAAATAGAGCACATACATGAATACTAATTTTTATAAATTAATGACCATGATCAAAGGCTGCTGTTTAATAGCAGTATCAAAATTGCTAGCCTTGAGACTTGAAGGCCAGAAAGCTATATGATTTCTGCATTTATTACACGCTGTCTCCATCCATGTTCTGTTGCTATAACAGAACACCTGACACTGGGTAATTTTTTAAAAAAAGAAAAGTTTTATTTAGCTTAGCCTCTGGAGCCTGGGAAGTGCAAGAGCAGGGTGCCACGGTGCAGAGCAGTGGGCACACAGGAGCGTGGAAAAGGTGTCCTGGGCCAGTGCTGTGGCGCAGCGGGTAAGGCCACCGTCTGCAACACCCGGCCTCCACTGCGGGCACCACTTCCATCCAGCTCCCGCTGACGCACCTGAGAAAGCGGCAGGAGATGCCCAAGTGCTCGGGGCCCTGCCACCCACGTGGGAGACCTGGATGAAGCTCCTGGCTCCTGGCTTTGGCCTGGCTCAGGCCTGGCCGTTGTGGCCATCTGGGGAAGGAACCAGCGGATGGAAGGATGGAAGATCTTTCTCTTTTCCTCTCTCCTCACTCCTCTCTCCCTCCCTCCTGCTTCTCCCTCTGTAGCTGCAGCTCTCAAATAAATATTTTTTAAAAATGGGTGGGGAGATGCAAACCAGGCAAGGCAACCCCATACATGGTACCTCATCCAGGCTCAGGGGAAGGCACTGATTCTTCTTCACAACCTGATCACCTCTCTGAGGCCCCACCTCACACCACCACCACAACAGCAACTAAATTTCATTAGGAGTTGTGTAGAGAACAAACTATACTCAAATGCCAGGCTGAATTAGCTTTTGAACACACACACACACACACACACACACACGGAGGTCAAAAGTTCATGGACAGGTGCAATGAAAAGTTTGAGTTTATTCTGGTGCAAAAATATCTATGAAAATCTCGCAGTTTTGCCACAGCGCGCATTTCCCATGTATGAGGGATACAGAGAGTCCAGACCCACATCTCAGGCCTGATTGTCACAAGGGGCTTCCAGTGTCCACCCCACCCCCGACTAACACCAGAACGCCATGAGGCTCATTCCTCGTGTCCCTAACCATCAGTTAGAGGCTGCTAGCTTCAGCTTCTTCATCTGCGAAACACATGGAACAAGAAGTTGCACCTCACAGCACGGCTGGGGTCGGAGGGAGCCCTGGTCATGCACACAGTAGGCAGAAGTCCTCGTTACCTCAACAGGCGGGCAACCCAAGGCCTAGAGTAACTCTGGGAAGTAGCGTGAACTCAGCGGAGGAGCGGAGCACATCAGTGACTGGAGCGCTGTCCCCATCCGGGCCTTCGTCCTATCCTCCCCTCTCCATACCACCAGCAGCATTTGCTTTACCCGTGTCCTGCAGCACCGCCGCAGCCTCCGGAGCTTGTGGCGCTGTTCTGTGTCTCCAGCAGACTGCGGGCTCCCTGAAGGTGTCTCGCACGACCTAGCGCCAACGCTGCACTCCCCACAGACGCTCAGGAACCAGAGAAGCAGGCCGTGCCCTGAGGAGCGACTCCAAGAACAGCCAAAGACAGCTCCTGGTGAGCCAGATCTGCACGGCTCTGACAGGAACTGGGAACCCCCAGCACCAGCCCTTCCCGATGGAGCGAAGGACAGAGCTGGGTTAGTGAACTTTCAAATCCCACGTTTCTGTGAGCTCTGCCGCTAAATGAACACTGGATTCACACTACCATAAACCGGAGATCCTGGAAATGAAGAGATGCCTTGGGAGAAGTGGGATGCAGCAGGGGGCGTGGAGCACTCAAGTGACTAGAGGCAAAGGGGGAAACGGGGAGCGGGCATGGAGCCACCTTGTGGGGCTGCTCACTGCCCCCCACACCTCCGTCCTCTCAGGAACAGCCCTTCCCCTCCATCTCCTCACATCACCTCCATGCTCTCAGGAACAACCCTTCCCCCTCCATCTCCTCACATCACCTCCATCCTCTCAGGAACAACCCTTCCCCCTCCATCTCCTCACATCACCTCCATGCTCTCAGGAACAACCCTTCCCCCTCCATCTCCTCACATCACCTCCATGCTCTCAGGAACAACCCTTCCCCCTCCATCTCCTCACATCACCTCCGTCCTCTCAGGAACAGCCCTTCCCCCTGCTCCATCTATTATATCACCTCCGTCCTCTCAGGAACAACCCTTCCCTCCTCCATCTCCTCACATCACCTCCGTCCTCTCAGGAACAACCCTTCCCCTCCATCTCCTTCTCCTCACATCATCTCCATGCTCTCAGGAACAACCCTTCCCCTCCATCTCCTCACATCACCTCCATCCTCTCAGGAACAACCCTTCCCCCTCCATCTCCTCACATCACCTCCATGCTCTCAGGAACAACCCTTCCCCTCCATCTCCTCACATCACCTCCATCCTCTCAGGAACAACCCTTCCCCCTCCATCTCCTCACATCACCTCCATGCTCTCAGGAACAACCCTTCCCCCTCCTCCATCTCCTCACATCACCTCCATGCTCTCAGGAACAACCCTTCCCCCTCCATCTCCTCACATCACCTCCATCCTCTCAGGAACAACCCTTCCCCCTCCATCTCCTCACATCACCTCCATGCTCTCAGGAACAACCCTTCCCCCTCCATCTCCTCACATCACCTCCATGCTCTCAGGAACAACCCTTCCCCCTCCATCTCCTCACATCACCTCCATGCTCTCAGGAACAACCCTTCCCCTCCATCTCCTCACATCACCTCCATGCTCTCAGGAACAACCCTTCCCCCTCCATCTCCTCACATCACCTCCATCCTCTCAGGAACAACCCTTCCCCCTCCATCTCCTCACATCACCTCCATGCTCTCAGGAACAACCCTTCCCCCTCCTCCATCTCCTCACATCACCTCCATGCTCTCAGGAACAACCCTTCCCCCTCCATCTCCTCACATCACCTCCATGCTCTCAGGAACAACCCTTCCCCCTCCATCTCCTCACATCACCTCCATCCTCTCAGGAACAACCCTTCCCCCTCCATCTCCTCACATCACCTCCATGCTCTCAGGAACAACCCTTCCCCCTCCTCCATCTCCTCACATCACCTCCATGCTCTCAGGAACAACCCTTCCCCCTCCATCTCCTCACATCACCCCCATCCTCTCAGGAACAACCCTTCCCCCTCCGTCTCCTCACATCACCTCCATCCTCTCAGGAACAACCCTTCCCCCTCCGTCTCCTCACATCACCTCCATGCTCTCAGGAACAACCCTTCCCCTCCATCTCCTCACATCACCTCCATCCTCTCAGGAACAACCCTTCCCCCTCCATCTCCTCACATCACCTCCATGCTCTCAGGAACAACCCTTCCCCTCCATCTCCTCACATCACCTCCATCCTCTCAGGAACAACCCTTCCCCCTCCGTCTCCTCACATCACCTCCATGCTCTCAGGAACAACCCTTCCCCCTCCGTCTCCTCACATCACCTCCATCCTCTCAGGAACAGCCCTTCCCCTCCATCTCCTCACATCACCTCCATCCTCTCAGGAACAACCCTTCCCCCTCCATCTCCTCACATCACCTCCATGCTCTCAGGAACAACCCTTCCCCTCCATCTCCTCACATCACCTCCATGCTCTCAGGAACAACCCTTCCCCCACATCTCCTCACATCACCTCCGTCCTCTCAGGAACAACCCTTCCCCCTCCATCTCCTCACATCACCTCCATCCTCTCAGGAACAACCCTTCCCCCTCCATCTCCTTCCCCGAGAGGATGAGCCCAGAGCCTTGGGGAGGAGATATCTGTGTGCTGTTGCCTTCCTGGTTCCCTTGGCAACCATGCAGCATCCTGAGGCACCAGCAGTGAGGAGTAGGATAGGGTGGTGTTGGGAGTCAGATGTGTCACTTCCACACCCGTGGTTCGCAGCCTCTCAGCTTCAGAATTTACACACACCCCCTACACACTTCTGACTGCTCATTTCCTATCTGGTGCCAGGTGCCCAAGCACAGAGCCGCTAGGTATGTTATATAATTAGTCTCATTGTGCCAATGTTCTCTGAGACCGGAGCCTGAGACTGGAAGATTCCTAGCACCAAGGACACTCGCGGTCCCATTGTTGGGTTGAGGCTTTCACACAACAGAACACATCAACAGGCCTCCATTAAGCTCATATCAAGAGCTGCTCATGGGCTGGGAACACAGGACAGGAAGTCTGAGTTTTCATCACAGGGGTTGAGGGTCAGCCTTGGAGGACCTACCTAAGGACAGATGGGGGTGGTAATTTCATTTGGGAGCAAAATTGCCTACCAAGCAGAAAGATAAGTCTACAGCTTTGAAATGAGTTCCACTGCCAAACCTCATCTGTAAGTCAATTATTCAGAATTCGGAACCCGTTTCCAAAGAAGTCATGTCTGTTATAAATGATGATTGGGTTTCTAGGCTAGTCCACAAAAGCCTATTTAACTCATAATGTAGGTGAAATACTCTACATTTGCAATGAAAAGCAATAGGGGGAAAATCTTGTTGTGATACCAGTAATTAAATGAGAAACAGAGAAGTGGAAAATAAATGGCTTTCTTTCATCAATTTTGAACACTAGAGCTCTTGGACAGAGGGGGTGGCTAGCTGGTGGCTCCTAAGGGGAGGGCTCCTTATGTACATCACACAGTGGCTGAGGGGGGCAGCCTATGGTGGGGGAGCACTGTGGGATGCAATGGAGATGGGTCCTTGGGTAGCAGAGCGGGGGCTCCCTGGGGAGATGGACGCCTGCCAGCCTTGCCCCAGCTCCGTCTCTGTGACTCACTGTAGCTCTGAGGTGGCGCGGGAGCTCCTGTATCTCCACTACTCCACTGACACCGCGGCTGATCGCTCCAAACGCCTGCTGCACCACCCAGACCCCGTACCGTGGAAAGACTCGCTGCCCAGGTCAACCAGCAGCCTCTTTAGCAACTGCCCAAACACAGAGAATCACACATCCAAGGTGGCCCCACTCCCAGGGGTCTGCATCCAGAAAGCAACCGATGTGACAGGATGAAGACCCCGATACTTCAGTCTAACTCAGGAAACTGACGGTCCCTCTCAGATGAGAGCCCTCCAAGGGGTGTCAGTGCACCTGCCTCCCAGCCTGCCTTGCTCCTCTTCCTAAGCGCACTCCTCAGTAACCATCCTCCCCCTGAGCTCCCTCTGAGGCTGCTTCCCAGGGTGCCCAACCTGTGACAGCCCAGCCCAGACCAGGCACAATGAATGATGAGAACATTCCCCTGCTGCTTCTCCTGACCTGCACAGGGCACAGATCAGCAGGAAAGCCTAGTGACACCACAAGAGGCACCAGGGAGCCCAAGAGCAGGGTGACAAGCAGGGGTCTGGGGGACTCATGGAGGTAGGCACTCCTATCCCCCTGAAAATGGCTGAAAATAACCTACAAGGTTTGTTTCTAATGTATGAGTGTTTTTCATCAAGTGCTTATAATTTGGAAATTAAAATGTATAAGAAATATGAGGACTGCTTGTTTGGACCTGCTCCATTCGATATGGTAGCCACTGCTCATGTGTGATTATTTAAATTTAAATTAATTTAAACTAAACACAATTTGAAAGTCAGTTCCTTGGTTGAACTAGGTACACGTCAAGTGCGCGATAACTACAAGTGGCTTGTGCCTACCATACGAGGTGGTGTCAATTTATAGAACATTTCTATCATCCCAGGAAGTTCTACTGGACAGTGCTAGCTGGAATATTGAGCTGTACAGGCTTTGAGAATGCTCAAAGTGCGGCCAGCGTTGTGGTGCGGAGTGTTAAGCTGCTGCCTGCAACGCCAGCATCCCCCTTATCAGAGCACTCGCTAGAGTCCCGGCTGCTTCACTTCCAATCCGGCTCCCTGCCAATGCGCCGGGGACAGCAGGAAGACCTCCCAGGTGCCTGGGGCCCTGCCTCCCACGTGGGAGATGCTGATGGAATCCCAGGCTCATGCTTGCAGCCTGGCTCCCCCCTGATTGCAGCAGCCGCTTGGGGAGTGAACCAGCCATGAAGATCTTGATCAATCTCTCCCTCTCTCTTTCTCTCTCTCTTCTTCTCCTTCTCTCTGCCTTTCAAATAAACATGTTTTTTAAAATGTTCAAGTTGTATTCTGTACCAACTTTCTATAAATATTTAAATAAAGAATGTTCAAAGTATATGCTATACCAGCTTTCCATGTAAGCCTCCCCTGACAGACATGCACAGAGAGTAAAGCAAGACAAACACCAGTGGCTCTGCCTCCACTCCACCACCTAGACGCACACAGAACTGTAGTTCTGCATGAGCAAGGCTGGATTCCATGAGAACTAATCTAATGCAGAATGAGCCAGAGCCACACAGGCCTCCTGGCTTACTATGACCTCCAACCCCAAGCCAAAGGTCAAGGGAAGACAAAGAGAAAAAAAAAGAAAAATGGCAGAGAACATCAGTCCCTAAGTAAGGCAGGCAGATCAGCTCCCAGGATTGTCTGAAGAGACCTCATCCTTGTTCCCCAAACATCTCCGCTCCACCGGCAGCCCCATCACTACGACAGTGGCCAGTACAGGGAGCAGGTCAGCAGCCCTTCTTGGCCGTGAACAGGGACACCCAGGGCTCATCCTGTGGCTGATGGAGAAGCAACGGCCAAACCCATGACCTCAGCAGCACTTTGTGGTCCCTGACTGACCCCCCACTCTCTCCCGGACCTGTGCTTTGGATCTGGCCCCAGCCTCCCACCCACTCGTGGACCTGACGCTTCAGTCTCCCTGCTTCCCTAGAGCCAGGGCTTGGGTTCCGTGTTCTGCCCATGGTGTGGCAGCAGAACAGAGCCAGCGGGTTCAGACCAGGCAGAGTGCGCCCACCACGAGACGTATAAGCAGTCTTCAAGGCAACCTGTCTCCCCGCAACTCTGGAGCCTGACGGTAACCCAACAAGGGCAGAATCCTGTCAGCACCACCCGATGGCCCCTGCGGCCAAGAGCACAAAGGGCGCTCAGAGCAGGCTTTGGCACAGCAGTTAAGACACCACGGGGAACCCACATCCCACATCAGAGAGCCTGAGTTTGAGTCCTGGCTCCTGATTCCAGCTTCCGCTAATGCACACCCTAGGAGGCAGCAGTGCTTGCCACACACATGAGAGATCTGGATTGAGTCCCCAGTTCCTAGTTTTGGCCTGGCCCAGCCCTGGCTCTTGGGAGAATTTGGAGGAATAAACCAGAGGACAGGAGAGCTAGCTAGCGCTCTCTCATGTGCTCTCATTCGTCCTCTCTTTCTGCCTTTCAAACAGCATGAAAAAAATAAGTTCTCTTTCCCGTAGTAATCTCACCTCTACCGCCTCCCCCTCCACCCTAATGGCAGCTGGCGTCCTGGGCCCTCCTCTTCTACTCCCCCAACACTCTCCCAGTATCCCCCTTTGGGAGGTGTTTCCACTGCAGGAATGTAAGAGGACCTGATCGGAAACCCTGGAGACCACAGCCTCCCTGGAAGGCAAGGCTGGACTTCAGCAGTTAGGAAACTGGCTGTGGCGCTCCCCAAACAATTTCAGCAGGAATGTAGTCTCATTGTATTAATCTGCAAAGCTCTGAAACGTTACTTCTTAGACACCGAGTACATAAATCTTCTTCCAGAGACTCCTGTGATTGTCTAAACTGCATTCTCATTGGACACAACTGATAAATTAGAGGACTGCTTCTGCCGCTCTCACCCACGAGGATCTCCAACGCTGATGGTTTTCTGCTCTGAAACTCCTTTCACAACATGCCACACTGTTGCCAGCAAATAATACTCCCAGCCGCTTTCCCCTCCCACACCAAAAACATGGGATGCAAGCGCCCATCCCCCACGCCTGTGCAGAGAGCAGACCCCCAACAGGCCCAGCAACACACACTGCCACATACAGGACACACTGCAGAGTCCAGCAGAAAGTTCTAGAATGCAGGAGATGTCAGCGATGCTCACCCCACTTCCCCTGGGGACCTCAACAGCTGGTACAGCTCCTGCATTCCAGAAATAATAACAGCACTTCATGTTGGCTGGCATCAGACCTTGCAGAGTTACTCTGAGATTTTGCATGAATTATTTTATATAACCTTATAACACCTCTCAAGGCAGGTGTTACTACCTCTGTTTTGCATACGAGGATCCAGGGTTCATTGCACTTACTTTCACAGGGTGTTAAACTTCCAGAGTGGCAGTGCTGCCTCTCAGCCCAGCGCCCCCTGCAATCAGTGGAGCTGAAAGCCTGTTCCGAGTGAAGCAGGACATCAGAGACACAAGACAGAGGTTTGAGGCTGGACATTAGCCCCAGTGAACACACACAGTGCAAGATATCTACCACCTCTGCCACACTATCTCATTCGACAATGAGAAATAGTGAAGGAAAGTGGGCTGCCAAAGCAACCACCAAATACAAACCATCAAAAAGCAAAGTCCTGCTTCCGTGTGAGACTGTGCTAAATGCAATGTTCCAGCTCGCCACACTTGCCCAAAGCTCACCCGTGCTCCCCCCTGCCCTGAGCCTTCTCAGGTCACCAGAGCCCACACCAAGAGTCTGCAAACCTTGATGTGTCTAGAATCACAGAATCCTGGACCACAACCACCACCCCCCTCCCAGAGATTCTGACTCAGTGGATCCAGACTGGGCCCAAGAGTGTGCATCTCTAACAAATTCCCAGATGGTGCTGAACTGCATACCACAATAGAGTGGCGCTGGTCTAGACCCTGGTAGGACCTTTATACACAGTGTAGAACTTAGCTACTTTTCTGTTACACCACCCGGGTTCCCAGTCACCACCCCCCTACACTTCCCCTAATCCTAACCATCAGGAGAACTTCCACCCCCATCACTCATCAGCTCAGGATTGCTGTCTGACTCCCAAGGTCATTGCATTCCTGCCCCGTGTGCACAGATCTGATAATGAGGCTCCTCCTTAGCCATCGTTCTTTCCTTATGCTAACTCCCTAAGACCCAAGCTTTCTTGTATAGCTGGAGCCTCCTTTCTTTGGCCAAGCCTCCTCCCTAGGAATTGAACCATGCAACCTTGAACTCCCTGAGCACCTACCACATTCACGCTGCTGTCTTGATGCTAGGCATGTGTCTGTCCAAAACCCCATGTTTCACCTCACCCGGGGATTCCCTGTTGCCGAGCTGTCCCTGCCTCCTGGAACGTGCAGTTTCTTTCTGGTTTTGTTTCTCCTCTATAGGGCAGCAGCTTGCCTGGATGCTGACCTCTGATTATCTACACTGCTGGAAAGAGGACTCTCCCGCCACACTGGGCTTCCGTTTCAGCACCTAGATCTGGGACAGCTCCCCGCAGAGCGCAGAACCTCTACCGTCCCGGCTTCTCTCTTGCCATCAAATACAGGCCATGCCTCTGTGGGTGTGGTAGCTTTGCCTTACATCTTGCTTTTTATTTTTCCCACAATGAATCTTTGCCAACTAGGTATGGATGCTAGGACCCATGATGCGTTCGTGTCGGCAGCATTAGCTTGTCAATAAACATTAAGCAGCAAGCAGTTTGATCCGTTGCCTGGTTGGCACCTGGAAATTCATCATCCAATTTGGAAAGCACAATACCTTTTAATATCCCCTCTAGCACCCAACACAGGGGTCCTCACAGGAAAGACACCCTATGAATACTTAACGAGTAAACGAACACATGGACAAAGAAGGCCAGTGGGGTTATGCCCAGTTCTCCACCATGTCCGTGTCAGAACGCTCAGCCAGAAGAAACCAATTTCCAATCTACAGAAGCTGAGAGAATGCCTCCAGGCCAGATCCCAGCTAATTCCCAACACAAAATTGAACCTGCACATTCAGATGAATTGCAGTTTGAAGACTGCAATTACACCAGCGCAGTGGTTCTCAAATTTCTCCCAGCGCACGGCCGTCTTCAATGGAGAAGGCTGAACCGTACCCTGTTCCGCCTCCACGCCAGGCCTCCTCCATCCCTCACCCCTAAGGCTATCTCAAAAGCAAACCTGCACTCTTAGCCACTCTATTTTTAACCCCTACTCCTAGCCAGGCTGCTGGCTAAGTAGGTGGGGTCAACAGCTGCAAGTGCGTTAATGACTTCAAGGCATCTGCACACTGCCAATGACCTCCTCACCTCCACTCCTGATGTCCGTTCTGCTGCAAGAGCTGGGGTAGGGTGACATCTCTGAAAGCAGTCAACTCTCTACCTGGCTCGCTACAGAAACACTACAGCAGGTCTGGGAGAACAGCCAGGGGGCAGCCTGTGCACTACAGGCTCGGGTGTCCTGAAAGGGTCACAGTTTTCTGGGTCGGGGCAGAAAGACATGGAATGGCTTGCAGAAAGCAAAGCCGTTAGGTTACCGGGCAATGTAGGGTGAGGCGCTGTTGGTTGAGTGTCTCTGCTACCCAGTCCCAGGGATGAATTCCCACTGTGCTGACCCCCACGGATGCCAGCCTTGCAGACAAGACCGCGCAGCGAGAGCCTCTCACTGGCTAGGCTCCTAGGCGAGGATGGCTGACACGGCAGGGGACCCAGCATCTAATGTCTAGATGTTTACCTCATTAGGCTGTTTTACATAACTCCAGCCAAAAACACAAAAAGGAAAATAGCTGGGAAGTCGAAGTTCAGACCTGGGTTCCGAGTTCCCATTCTCAAACGCTACCAAGGCCTGAGACCAGGCAGCCCCTTCCTCCCTGGGCGGGACACCCCTCAAAACCACTCCCTTGGGGCAGCACAGCTACAGGGAGCAAAGAGGTGGCTACCGTGGTCACGACTGCTGCCAGTTTCACCCCAAGTCCTTGGCCTACAACACTCACCCTCGTGTGACCAGGGAGGGCTGGGCAAGGAGAGACCAGGAGTCATCCAGGCCACACCTGGGCTGGGGAGGCCGCAGAGGTCTGAATGGGGAGGAAGTCCGGAGAGCAGCTGTTCCACAGAGGAGCCGGCTGAATGAGGCGCAGCCAGATCCGTCCATTGGGAAAGAAAAGGCAGGTGCACGGGCCAAGGCCCTACATAAGTCCAACACCAGTAGGCCGAGGCCGGCGGGGAGGGCCGAGGAGGCCCAAAGTCGGCCAGGACCTGGAGTGACTGGAGGGGATCTAGACAGCAGCAGAGGGGGGACTGGGGCTCGGGGGCAGGCTCCTCCCATTCTGCAAAGAGGGAAGCATGAGGAAGAGGGCGGGAGAGGCCAGATGTGGGGAAACCAGGCAGGGCTTGGGCAAGCAGCACAGGCGAGAGTCTGTGCCATGATCTGCACCAGAGCAGGGGAATGCTGGGCTTCCACCAGACGCCACCGAGTGGGAGCTGCTCCCCCAAGACTGGGCTAACCTACAGGCGAAGGGAGAGAGTGGCTCCTCCAGGGCCAGAGAGCCGAGAGCGGCATCCCCAACACATGGCCCAGCGTTGCGGTGCAGCAGGTTAAAGCATCCCATATGGGCGCTGGTTCGAGTCCCGGCTGCTCCACTTCTGATCCAGCTGCCTGCTAATGGCCTGGGAAAGCAGTGGAAGATGGCCCAAGTGCTTGGGCCCCCGCCCACTATGTGAGAAACCCAGAAGAAGCTCCTGGCTCCAGATGGTTCCAGCTCCTGCCATTGCAGCCATTTTGGGAGTGAACCAGTGCATGAAAGACCTCTGTCTCTCTCTGTCTCTACCTCTCTTTCAAATAAATAAAATAAATCTTTAAAAACAGGAACAAAAAAACACAGGGGCCAAGACAGTTCTGGGCTCTGACCTCTCGTCCCTCTTGGTAGTGGTTCCTTGGAAACGTCCCTGCCCACCTCACTAAGTCTCAGCTCCATCTCTGCCGTCTCCTTCCACGATCTGCTGCCGTGCGGGGCAGAGGCCGGGAGACCGAGGCACCCGTTTGGCTGGGTCCTGCTCGTGCTGTTTGCCTGAGCCAATGGCAGCAGGCAGCCGTGTGAGGCTGGGTCTGTGTGTGCCGTGGGGCGGGGAGGGAAGGAAGTCATGGCTCTCTTTCTGCGCTGTGTGACCATCCAATCTCATTAGTTGAACCCTCAGTCCTGATGTGAGGAAGCCTCAAAAAAACAGCTTCCTGGAAAGATAAGGGAGATCTGATTGCAGGCACGTGGAGTCTCAGCTCCTTGGTTCTCGCTACCCCCGGGGCAATCAACTGGCAGCAGAAACCTCCATCTTGCAAATGCCAGGCGGAACGTGCACACCCAAGCTCACACGCGTCTCGGTCCTCCAAACCCGAGGGAGCCTCGGCACGAGCTGCCCAGAGAGCTCTGCCAAACAGATCAAGAGGCCAGGGGCGAGAGGCCCCGCCTGCGCGCACGTACACACACACACAAACACACACACACACGCACACACACACAGACGCACGCACACGCACACGCACACACACACACACCCCGTCCAGCAGGCGCCTGCCCTGCGACCTCAGGCAGGCTCTGCTCCAGTGGCCCCAGCAGTCTCCCTGGAGCCCTGGCCGTGTGCAGCCCAAGGCCAGCTCCATCCTGCCCCTCCCAGCTCTTTCTCCCAGAAGCTGTCACCTTTCAGCACCCACAGTTCCCCAGGCCTGCTCGCTGGGCCTCCTTCTTCCATCGCAGCCCACCCTGGCTGTCCAGTCCCCACCACAGGCCACCTAGGCTCCTGCCCAGCCACTGGGCAAGTGTCCAGGCCACGGTCTGTGCCAAAGGGCAGGCCAAAGGGACCCCTGTGGCAGGGAGAACAAAGGCAGAGCCGCCTGGGGCAGCCTCTGGGCTCCTGGGGTTGCACGAGGATAAAGACGTCTCCAAACAGACGCTGCCGCCTCAGACTGAGCCGGGACATGAAAAGCCGGCGGGGCGCGGCCTAGTACGGAGAGGAGGCGGCACTGCTGAAAATAGCGCTGCTTCCCCGGGCACTGCGGATCAGACGCCGCCACACGTACAGCATCAGAGCTGACAGCGCATCCAGACAGCGCCGCTCACCACGCTCACTTCCTGCGGCTGCCGGTCCCCTCCCCTGGCCAGTGACATGGCCTGTCCTGCTCCGGCCCAGCAGCCAACAGGAGGATCTGGGTCAGGAGTTCAGCAACTCAGGGCCCACAAGGCAGGACAGCACCCTCTCCCCACTGTGCTGACAGCTCACCCGGCTCACGGGGAACCAAAGGCGGCAGCGGGGTGTGAAAGCAGGTGGGCTGCGCCAGGCGGGTGGCCAGGCCCAGGACAGGGGTCCCGGCTCCAGGAGGACGGTGCCTTGTCCAACGGCGAGGTGGAAAAACCGTTGCCTGCAGAACCTTACCAGCAATTGCCATCCAAGCCAGGGTAGGAACTGTCACCAACTCACCCAGGAAACACAGTGTTCCAACCATGTTCACGACGACCATGCCTGCGCCTCCCCAACACACACACACACACACACACACGTTGGTTCCTCTGACCTTTGCTCCCTGGGAGTCGGCTGTCTCTTCACAGCTGGGTGTGTGAGCCTAGTGGAAGCCTCACCCGAGGTGAAGGCGCTCACAGCCAGCCGTTAAGTCGCCCGTGGGCGGGGTCAACTCTCCAAAACCCATCATGCAGTGTTTAAGTAGACTCTGCTGTTCGTTACTTGGACATTCTGTTCTATATCAGTGGGGGTGATCAAATTCCTCATGAGAAGTATGTAAAGCAAGTTTTTAACCAATGTCCACACACTCTCCAGAAGTTATTTCAGGGAGGGAAAAATCATACTTTTCCTTTGGAAAAAATTGCCTACGTCATGGAATGCAGGATAACACGGTGAAATTCTAAAATGACAACCAACCATCTTTTCATTCCCAACACTAATCAGTAATGGCTTCTACTGTTTGAAGGGGGCTTCCATGCCCTCTTCCCACCCAACGTCATCAACACCTGCCTTTGGAAATTAACACAGACTCTCACCACGCTTCTCCATCTCGCCGGCGTCCCCAGTCATACTTAGTGCCCCCAGCCTCAGCCATGACAGGTGCTCAACCTGCCCCCAGCTAAACATATCTGTCCGAGGGGTGGGAAATGACACATGGTCTCCACCCGCCTCATAGCCCATTAGGAGACTTCACAGAAGAGACTGATGAACCCTCACCAAAGGGTGACACCCGACACCACGCGCTGCAGACCTGCACAGAAGTCGATCGTGAGAGGCTTTCATCTGGTAAAAATAGATCCGCCAGCACCCCAGGTCCGGCGGCAGCAGCACGCTGGATGTGTAGAACCCAACAGCACCACATTTGGAGAACGAGGGCTCAGGAGACACCAGGGCTCAAAGGCGGCCCCCCCAGCCAGGCCTGAGCCGCTCCCTCCGCCTTTCCCGCTGCCGTGTGACATGCATCCAAGGATGCCTCGACGGGGACTCACTTTGAGCTCCAGATATTTACGGCAAGGACAGACACAAGAGTTTCCTGGTTCCCCTTGAAGTATCTGTACAATTCACACTAAAATAACTGTTCTGCTGAGACATCTCCACCAACCCACTTAATTGCTTACAGCAATCCTCCTTACTGTAATTATCACATTGGCTTGTAATTATTTACTGTGTGACTGTCTCTCCCCTCTCCCCACCCTCCCCGCCCCCAGACTGGAGAGCTGCCGGAGGCCTCAGAAGCCACTCTGTCCCTGTACAGAGAAGCTCAGTGGCGGCGAAGCTGGGTTCCTGTGAACCCAGCCAACATGTCGGCGACTTCCTCCTCCTTAGGTTCCGATTCTGCAACCACCGCTAACGTAAGGGAGACCCGCGAGGTTGTCAGCAGGACTTCTGTATCAGGAACGTCTCTTTTAGGCTCCTACTAACTGACCACCCTTGGAACAGTGCTTTGTGGGAAATCTGCAGTGACTGTCATACCCTTCTATACTTGAGTTCTTAGATGTCGACCTCCAAAAAGGAATTAATGGCCCATATTACTCGTGACTCCGAGGCAAACATCACATCACAACCAGGAGAGCGTGTGGAATGCTTGGCACCTCCACCTAGCACAGGGGGAGGCGCTCTGTCCCACACGCTGCCCCTGGCTTGTGGGGCAACAGTCAGGTTCATGCTGGCTCATCTTGCTGTTGCCTCCTCCACTTCTGTCATCTTGGGGCCACAGCATTTAGTAGCGACCATCTGGACAGTCAGCCACAGTCTTTCGGAAATTAATGAACGATAGTTCTATTTGGTTTAACCAAAAATGCGGGCTACACCTGGTGGGCCCAATATACACAGAAGGAAATTAGCTAGTAACAAAGAAAAGAAAGATGTTCCCCCCGGAACAGCTGCCTTCCGCAACGTTTACCCATTAAGGGGATACTTACCAGCAAGCAACAAAAGAACCCTCATGTGAATGTATATGGGAACAGCACCGTAGCCTTGAGACATCCCACTTTTAACAAAAGATGGGCTGAGTATGTGACAAAGACAAGGAGGTGTCATGGAGCTCAGGACAGTAAGAAGGTGTCCAAGAAGTGTGCCAGCAACAAAGGAGCCTGCTTCAGACAGGTAGTGGTCCCCACAGAGCACAAGAGAAACAGCCAACAAACTCGGGGTGCACTTTAAGTCCCCTCTCTGTGACGTAAGCCTCTGAGGATCCCCAGCCAGAACTCCCCTAATCATCCAACAGATATTCTGACCCTCACCAAGCAATCGCACACAAACCACGGCCCCAAAGCCTACTGTTAGAAGGGAAACAGAGACCTGTAAGATGAGGCCAGATCCCGCCCCTGTGACTGCCCCCACCCCCACCCCCGACTCTGGGTGCAAATCCCCAATTCACGGAAGCTTGCAACCACCAGCTGGTATCACCCTTCACAAATGCCAACACGAGGGATCAATAAGCTGCCACAACTGTACTGGAAGCAACTTGGAGACGTGCTGGAATTCAATCCCAAGTTTGGTTCACTGAGGTAGGTGAAGGCTCAAATTATATCCTTGTCTACCTGCTAGTGTTTTGATTTTGTTGTTGTTGTTGTTGTTGTTGTTGAAGAAGCCAACTCCCCAAATCCACAATGCAATCAAAACCACTGGAGGCAACTGTGACTCACAGATACTAGCATTTTGGGAGCCTGCGCACAGATCTCACAAGTAGGACCCTCCCATCAGCCGAGCCCTCCAATGGGACGCCACAGCACAGTCACAGGCAAAGCCACTCAGGCGCACTTACGCAGGGCGTGCCACTCGTCCTGACGGATGGTCTTCGTGATGTTGAAAGTGAGGTTCCTGGGGATGGTTGCTGAGGAGTAGTGGTATTTGATGTAAGTGCATCTCTCAATTTCTCCTGAAACAGACAGACAGGACACAAGCGTTAATGAGGCCACCACCCCATACAGAGCAGCTCTGGGACCCAGGTTCCCGTCCTGGAAAAAGGGACTTGCTCCCCATTGGACCTGTGGGTGCCCAGCAGGTCTACAAGAGAGTAGAACAGGATTGATTTAAGTTAAAATAACACATCTCTGGGATCATGCAGAGGTGGGAAGAGCCGGTTTAGGCTGGTGGCGGCTCAGCGAGCAGTAGTAGCCATGTTGTCTACCCTTCTTAGGGAAGTCTGCTCTCAAGCCAAGAGTGGGAGGTGACAAGAAGCACATGGCTGGTCCCGCCCAGGGCAAGCACCAGTCCTAGAAGTCATCTGTGCTTTGGCACTCACAGCCTCCTGGAATGGTGAGAAGGGGGTGGAACGAATTCTCCCCTTTCTCTCCATGCTCCCTGCTGGGGGTGGGGTTTCCCTCCCCCAACTCAGGTTGGGATTTCCTGCTCACTGCTGGGTGTTAACACAGTGGAAACAGGCAGTCCAGCCACGGCATTCGGAGGTGCCATGTTTGCGATGAACTCAGGTTAAACGAGGCCATTGAGGGGGTTGGTCAGCCAATGGGACATGAGTTTTTAAGGAGAGGTGGGACCTGGGCTATGACACTCTGTACCACAACATGATGCCTGCAGAGTCACCACCCACAAGAAGGGCCTCCCCAGATGCAGCTGCCTGGCCTTGACCTTCACAGCCTCCAGGCCAGGAGTCAAACATGTATTTCCAGATTACTCAGTAAAAATTCGGTACTCAGCTGTAGTCAAAGAAAGCAGGCTAAGAAGCTCCCCAACCTCGCCTCTGAGCACAAAACCCCCAAATCAAACTGTGTTGCTTTCAACCAGTTTCTTTCCAGGTTTCTTGGGCTAAATTATGGTCTCTTAACAGACTCAAGACCTGGTCCAATAAGACCTTTATAGTAGGTTGTTAATTGTCAAGGCACACTTTGCTAGTCAAATTATCAAAATACTCTGGTAACTCGTATCTTATGCCAGCCTGGGATCACATGGGATCACTCCCCGGCCGGCAGCATCAGCATCCCCCAGGGTCACATGGGATCACTCCCCAGCCGGCAGCATCAACATCCCCCAGGGTCACATGGGATCACATGGGATCACTCCCAGGCCAGCAGCATCAGCATCCCCCGGGATCACATGGGATCACTCCCAGGCTGGCAGCATCAGCATCCCCCGGGATCACATGGGATCACTCCCCAGCCAGCAGCATCAGCATCCCCCAGGATCACATGGGATCACTCCCCGGCCAGCAGCATCAGCATCCCCCAGGGTCACATGGGATCACATGGGATCACTCCCAGGCTGGCAGCATCAGCATCCCCCAGGATCACATGGGATCACTCCCTGGCTGGCAGCATCAGCATCCCCCAGGATCACATGGGATCACTCCCTGGCCAGCAGCATCAGCATCCCCCAGGGTCACATGGGATCACATGGGATCACTCCCCGGCCAGCAGCATCAGCATCCCCCAGGGTCACATGGGATCACTCCCCGGCCGGCAACATCAGCATCCCCCAGGGTCACATGGGATCACTCCCTGGCCGGGAGCATCAGCATCCCCCAGGATCACATGGGATCACTCCCAGGCTGGTAGCATCAGCATCCCCCAGGATCACATGGGATCACTCCCAGGCTGGTAGCATCAGCATCCCCCAGGGTCACATGGGATCACTCCCTGGCCATCAGCATCAGAATCCCCCAGGATCACATTGGATCACTCCCCAGCCGGCAGCATCAGCATCCCCCAGGATCACATGGGATCACTCCCCGGCTGGCAGCATCAGCATCCCCCAGGATCACATGGGATCACTCCCTGGCCGGGAGCATCAGCATCCCCCAGGATCACATGGGATCACTCCCTGGCCAGCAGCATCAGCATCCCCCAGGATCACATGGGATCACTCCCTGGCCAGCAGCATCAGCATCCCCCAGGATCACATGGGATCACTCCCTGGCCATCAGTATCAGCATCCCCCAGAATCACATGGGATCACTCCCCAGCTGGCAGCATCAGCATCCCCCAGGGTCACATGGGATCACATGGGATCACTCCCAGGCTGGCAGCAGCAGCATCCCCCAGGGTCACATGGGATCACTCCCAGGCTGGCAGCATCAGCATCCCCCAGGGTCACATGGGATCACATGGGATCACTCCCCAGCCGGCAGCATCAGCATCCCCCAGGGTCACATGGGATCACTCCCAGGCTGGCAGCATCAGCATCCCCCAGGGTCACATGGGATCACATGGGATCACTCCCCGGCTGGCAGCATCAGCATCCCCCAGGGTCACATGGGATCACATGGGATCACTCCCAGGCTGGCAGCATCAGCATCCCCCAGGGTCACATGGGATCACATGGGATCACTCCCCAGCCGGCAGCATCAGCATCCCCCAGGGTCACATGGGATCACTCCCAGACTGGCAGTATCAGCATCCCCCAGGGTCACATGGGATCACATGGGATCACTCCCCGGCTGGCAGCATCAGCATCCCCCAGGGTCACATGGGATCACATGGGATCACTCCCAGGCTGGCAGTATCAGCATCCCCCGGGAACTTTCCAGGGATACAACTTCTTGGGTCCAACTCCAGCTCCACGAATCAGAAACTTGGAGCCTGGCAATGTGAATTTTAATAAGGCCTCTGGCTGATTCTATTACATATTTGTTGGAGAATCCTTGCCTTAGGGAATCTCACAGAGAATTGCCAATGTATTGATTAGAAATCCCACTTTGTTTGCAAATTCCAAAAGGCAGGCCGGATCAGGAATTCTTCCGTGGTTATTTTTGGCCTCCTCCAGGCACTTCTCTTGACACTTGCTTATCTGGGGAATATTAAAACGCAGTGTCAGGCCATTGCGAAGAATCAGGAAAGGAGTGCGTTCTAAAGGTTAGGGGGCTTGAAATTTGGTTTTGCACCTGGATGGATTTTGATGGTAATCCATTTTGCACCCCACTGATTTTCAATTTATAACCGGTGGCACCTGATTGAATTGTTTGACCCCTGACCCCCGTCAGCAGGGAACCTGGCAATTGGTGAAGTGCAGTAATTTAGACAGTGCCTTATGAAACCGATGCCTTATTGTAAATCACATCTGGACAGCTGCCCAGCTGCCAATTATTGACAGACTCTCCTCCAGCGGGACAGGCACCGTCTAAAGAGGCAAAGCTGGAGACCGTCGCACGCACTCCTGCCTCTGCAGGTTCCGCAGTCCCCACCCCCTGCCTCCGCTCCCGCAGTCCACACACCCCGGAGTCTCACACATCCCCGTCCTCCCGAGCACACTTGCTCGCGCCGTCATCCCGTCACCCTCCTCCTCTGACTTGCTGCACTCCCAGAAGAGCAGTCTTCCAGGCAGTCTCCGCTAACTGCACACTCGACTGGCCATTCGCAGCATCACTGACCGCTCAGGGTGCATCATCACCCCAAGGCCTCCTCCCCCAGGGACGCTCCTCCTTCCTGACATCTAACTGGTCACCAGACGCTGCCAGTTCTGCTTAGAACTGGCCCTGGAGTCCAGGCCCTCATCCCAGCCCCAGCCCCCGCAATAGCCATGGTCACGATAACGTCTGGCCAACAAGGGACAGCATGCACGGGCTAGTCCTCGATGCTGTCGGCTGGTGGAGATGCGGCCGTCAGTCGTGGAGGTCCACTCTGTGGCGCTCGCACAAGGAGGAAACAGCCTAGTGATGCACTTCTCAGAACACGTGCCCGTCACTAAGTGGCACACGACTTTACAGTGACCTCCACAAATAACCCCACAGGGGAAGGACTTCCCAGGTAGGCGAGACTCACCAACGTGCTCCCGAGTCTACTCCCACCACGGTGCACACCAACAAGGTGCTTATAAGGCCCCGTAGGGCAAGCAGACGAGGCTGCTCCTGTTGGCTTCCTGGGGGCTCAGGGGCCGGCACTTCCGACATGCCTGGGACCATTCATGGTTCTCTCCACCAGTTCTGTGATGGATAGTGGCTCCTTGACCCATTACACAGCCCGGTTAGGCAGGTGTTGTTATTACCATCGTCCCTATTTTACACATGGGAGAGTAGAAGGGGAAGATATTTGCCCAAGGACATGGCAGGGCCAGGATGGGAGCCCACGATGGTCTGCCCAGAGCCTCCCTCCAGTAGGCCACCCGGCTACTTAGAGTGTATTCCATAAAGGAAACGGGAGTGTGTCAGCCCCTGCTCAGAGGCCTCTCCTGTCCCCAGGAAATCCCCCCCACTCCTCACTGAGGAAGCCCCAGGCCCACTCCAGCTCCCCTCTGACTCCAGCCTCCAGCCAGAAGAACCTCCCCATCTCGCCCTGCATATGCTGTGCCCCTTCAGGACTCTGCACCTGCTACACTCCTCCCCGCCCCCCCCCCCCGATGAACACCCACTCATCCAAGAGGGGGCTCCGATGCAGCTCCTCAGCCGGGCCTCCATGCATCTGAGAAGCCCAGCAGTGGGGGCTCCACGGGGCTGCTCCCTGTCTCCTCCCCGCTCCCCAGCCCCCGTCCCTCCTGCTGCAAACACGGACAGGCCGTGATTTATCTGTTTACACGCCTCACTCCCCCCTAGATGATGAGCTTCTCAAGGGCAGAGATGTTGTCTTAGTCATCCGTCTTTATGTCGCCAGCCCCTGGTGAAGGTGAGCACCGATAACATGTGCTTTGAAGAAAGGAATGGATAACAGGAGGTGCCCTTTGGACGACCACGGGAGCCAAGAATCCAGGGGCTTTTCTTGCGGGCAAGAAATTTAAATAATGGCAGCAAATGAGCACGCAGTTAATGAAGGGAGGTGACTACCGCAGAACTCCGTGGGTCTACAGAAGCGCCTCTGCCTTGTCTGGACCACAGGAGAGGCTCACCAACCACAGGGCAGAGGAAATGGCACATGACCACAGACCGGGGTCTCGCTGGACCTAGCAAACGTAAGGCGGGGACAACCAGGTCAGAGTTTCTAGAACGGAAAGGGG